AAAAAAACTATTACTGTTTTTATGCAGAAGTTACACTAGACTAAAGTTCTGGATAGAAAAATTAGCTTTTATGTGCAGAGAAACCCGAGAAACCAGATTTTGAAAATAGCACTCGGCCGACCTCGAAAATCGGCGTCTTTCACTGATTTGGGGTCGATGAACAAAAATTCGCATAGCGGGTGGAAAAAAGAATTTAGAACAATTCTAACTGCAATTTTGTAGTGAGGATAGATAGTACTTTCGATGATAGGAATATAAAAGAAATCTATTTTTCGAGCCCAGATCGAGTGGCACGCTGTTACAGAGACGCCCTCTTAAGTTGTGACGTATTCCCTGGGTTCAACTGTTCACAAAAACTACTAAAATAAAAGAGGAAAATGTTCTCCTCTCATAAAGAAAATGTAATCAAGAAAGACCTTGATAGAACTGCTTTTCGTTTTGGACCCGGAAGTCATTTTTCCATACGAGTTGACCTCACACTCAACAGCTCTAATTTTTTATCATTTACATGTATTTACAAGTTATAAGGATACGATAAGATGCACTCCAAATTTCATGTTTTAATGACAGCGGGGCAGTCCTTCGCAATTCTCTTGGCATCAACAGATCTCTTGAATGTAGCATTGTATCATATAGTGTCAGATTTGACCTTTAAAACACCTGAATTCTATGATTATGCCTATCAGCCACGACCACGTGACCATCCTTTGTCATCGCAAGGCCTGTCGGGAACTTGAATTGTCCTTCTTTATCTCCTTCGCAACCGAACTTAGCAAAGAAGGTACCATCTGCTTCAAACACCTGTATCCGATGATTCTGGAAATCTGTGACGAGAATGAATCCCTCGGGATCGACTGTAATACCCGCGGGTCTGTCAAGTCTACCGTTACCACTCCCCTTGGTACCAAAATTCCACTCGAAGTTGCCTTCAGCGTCGAATTTCACGATGCGGTTGTTTCCTGTGTCGGTTACTAAGTAACCGTCGTCATGGGCGACAGCTATGTGGCTGGGACAATCGAGCTGGCCGTCACTGTCGCCAGGGGAACCAAATGACTTGATGTGGGTGCCATCGAGCTTTATCAATTGGATTCTGTTGTTGTCTTTGTCGATTATTGCGAGACTTCCATTTTTGTTTAACGCTATGCCGCTTGGATGCAAGAACTTTCCCTCTTCGGAACCTAAGAAAAACGTTCATAAAACTAAGTCAAGCAGCCAACTTTATGCACCAGTTTTGCATACCGCTGTCTTAGAAGACCTACTTCACATAAGTGTTTTACTGAATAGGGTCCTGCAAAACTTAAATGAATTAAATAATCAAAAGATAAAGTTTACAAACATGAGCATTATGATGTTAATTTGCCATTTATCATCACAATAGTTCTTGACAAATTATATTGTGTCATTAGTGAATCGATCTCTGGTTGGCATTGTAAAGATAGTAGCTTACGTCACAGCAACTTGCGCTATATGTAGACCAGCTTAAAAAAACAGCTTATTTAGAGGACAAAACAAAAGAATTTAAAATCATCTGAGAATTTGAAACCTATTATGACCTCCAAATTGAGCTGCATTTCAACTTGCTGCGAGGGATCTATACTGACTTTCTAGGTAACGGCCACCCCCTCCGTATCAGTCGTACATGTTTGGTGTACTAGCCAAAGTTACCTCTATTGGAGTGAATCTTAATTTTTTTAAAACATTATTAATGATTATTAGAACATTACCTTTACTTCCAAATTTAGTAACATATTTCCCTTCTGAATTGAATAGCTGTATCCTATGGTTACCCCAGTCAGAGACTATGATCATTCCAGTGTGATCCACGGCTATCCCACACGGGTTCATGAGCTGTCCATCTTTGCTCCCCTTGCTGCCAATGTCACGCACGTGCTTGCCAAACTTATCAAACTTTTGGACTCGGCAGTTGACGAAGTCTGTGACGTAGATGTTATCTTCTGAATCTGTGGTAACGGAACTTGGCTGTTTGAATTCTCCACTTTTTGATCCCTAGAGGAGTTTAATAGAGCTTTAGCTTTTAGCTTCGGGCGTAATATACGTGTCATATCACCAATATGACAACCACGGCATAACACAAATTCGCCTCGCGGCCAGCACACACACGCAAAGCAACATGGAATGGGTAAAACACGGAATCAGTAACGTAATACTGACATGGACACCGGACTCACGGAACAGAATAAAAAACAAACTCATTAAGGATAACCTTCAACAGGTATTTTGAAATCAAATCTTTCTTACCATTGAGCCAAACTTGAGGAAAACCGGACCAACATTCTTATAGTCTATCCCTTCAACCACATTCGCCGTGAATGGTGCTCCCTGGATCTTCCTGCCTCTGATAGTGATGTTAATCACGTGCTTGCCACGTGTCACGGGCGTGTAACGCACGGACAGAGTGCCGTCCTCGTTGTTTGTCACGTGATTGCCTATGAAAAATTCTTCCGGTGCTTGGATGACCACGTGAAGGGGATTGCAGTGATCGCCTTCGAATGATTTATTGCCGAAACGATCTTTGGTCTGGATTGTAAACGTAGACTCCACTCCAACTTTTCCTGTTTTGATACCAAGGCCTAAAGACAAACGACGCCATCAAAATATAAGAACTCAGTAAAAAGTATTCGGTGCTATGATAGTTAGCATTTATTTTTTATTTTTTATTTTCAAAGTAGGAAGGGTAGTAAATAAGCAACTCGATATTACAGGATTGAACCCCTTCCTCTATCCTTTGCATCCTCTGCTTTGATCAATAAACCCCTTTCGAATTCCAAATTACCGCTGTGTTTCTTGATTACAGACTCATTTGCACAGAGTTAGCCTCGAGTTTGTGCAGAATATTCACGTGTTCCAGTCAAGGTCCGTCGAGTTTCTAAGTGTTTTTGTTGTTGAAGTTGTGCATTCTTTACTTTACCGTTGGTATTTGTGAATATTTAAACACTGATTCGAGGCTAACCCTGTGCAAATGAGTCTGTAATCAAGGAACACAGCGGCAACTTGGAATTCGAAACTGGTCTATTAAAGTCCCCTCAAGTAATAAAGCAGCTATTCAGTTACCATATGTGGCTTGATAAAAGTATGATCAGATGAAGTTTGAACTTAGAACTTAGAACTCTAAGGAATTTCCTTTAAATGAAGGAAGAGACGCAATAAATTCTGCCCGTATGCGTTACCAAGTACAGTAATCGAACATGAGTTCCCCAGAGCCGAGAGGTGACGAAATATATATTTTCCTAAAGAATACCAAAAAAAGTCATAGCTCTTTCGATAAAACCATCATGAAGTAAAATCTGTCCTCACCCGTTGCCATACACAGGGATGCAAACGTCTTAGAAGATGTCACATGACCCATCGTCATGGCAACTTCCTGCACTGCCTCATGATCCAGGATGTAATCAATTACGTCGTTTTCCTCGGGCTCCTTGTAGTCGAGCTCTATGCCATTCAATTCTTCAAGGCGATTGGTCATCAGCTGACGTAACTGAATGATTTCTACCTCGTTTCCATGTAGTAGTACATTTTCTACGAAGTCACGTGAGCTGGTATACCTATTATAAGTGAATATAATATTTTAAGCAAATGCCTCTGAGACAGTTATCTAATACAATAAGAAATTAATACGAAACGCGCTCTTATTTCTTAGTACTTTGACATTTGCCCACTTGTATAAAAACCCTTTTATAGATATCCTGAAATAACCCCTGGCTAATCAACTCAGAAACACTTTTTTCGTTGTTTTCAGTTTGACCCTTTTGAGCTGCGCCACTGCTTTATGGTGGTGAATAGCGATAACATTTTTTTCTTAAACTTTACCTAAAAAGTTCCATCTCAAGTTGGTCTTGTTGAGCCCGCAGTACATTTTCTTTGGCCAGCGTCATTTCATCTACTTGAGCAATCAACTGTTGTTTCCGCGCCAAAATGCGCTTGACACACTCGTCAGCTGCCGAGCAAATATCATGCTTGACTGCGTCTGCGCGTCCGCGTAGCTTTGCGGTCATGGCTTTGACTTCATACACTGCTTCCTGGACAGGAGGGATCTTCACACCAGTGCAAAACTGCAGGAGTTCATCAATCAGAAGTTTTCTCTCATCAAGTGCCTCTCTAAGTCCTATAAAAAAGTTGAGCTGTTTTCAAACTTGTTTGGCAGTTATTTACGAAGTGGTGGTCATGTTGATGGTTTTCACGTCGGCCATGTTGGAGGAACTTGCCAATTAATTCTTTTTTTTATATCCTCCATCATGGCCGCCGTGTCTTTTGTTATTTAATTCTCTTGGGAATGGTTGAAAACCATCAATAGATCGTCTTCATAACCGCCATCTTGTTTGAATTTAACAAAAGAATTATCATAGTTATGGGGCATATCTTTTTCATATCAAGCAATACGGCCGTCAGATGTTTAAATTGCATGTGCACTAAATATAGTTCTGTTAGAAATGATTGAAGAACAGCAGGGTAATCCACTACCGATATAAAGAAGCTTGTGAATGCATAAAAGCTACAATATCTCTTGCCATCTTTTCTTATCCAATCGCAATATTAAGAGTTCGTTCTAACGGGACTGTTCGGTCCACCATATTGGACACGAACCAATTTATTATAGGTAGGTTATTATGACCAGTTATCCTCTAAAAAAAGATAAAAAATGGTCGCCATATGATGGTTGGAGTAATAAAACAGACAGACCATGGCCAGAAGCAAATATTTTGTTGATCATTTCATTCAAAATAGCGGTCTTAGCATTGAATTCAATCGTTGAATAATTTGAGTGAAAATACCAGGCAATTAAATATTATTTACATTGACAATTTAAGTAAATATTTCTAAAGGAATTGGAGAATAAAGCCCTAAAAAAATAATTTATCCAAACAGCAGATATCGACAACGACAACAACATCAATAACAGGTGTTACTAGCAGGTACTATCTCTACACAGTGAAAATACGTCCTCAATAAGCGCATGTGCTACTGCTATGAGAAATAATCGTGATAGGAAAAATAGGAATCTACTATACATGTGAACGATACATATTTATTTTAATTAACCTAGATAATAGGAACTAATTTAATTGAGACTGATAGGAAATATTATGAGAGTTCATTAAATTGCAAATGCTGAGGTTTGGTGCTTTGGTGTTATTCTCGGACTTACAATCCGACGACAGTGTGGCTTCGCATCTACGAGGCTGTAGCTTTAAAAACCAATGCTTTTTACGGAGCAATGAAAAAACGACAAACGATACGGCAAATTTTGTAGTCTCAGTAACGCTTACCAAACCCGTAATTATGTATGTCATTGGATGATTCGTGCAAAAACAATGGGAAGCCATTTCAATGTTATGGCATGTCGTACCGTGTACGTGTTGTAAGTTAGAATCTTACACCTTCCAACTCACGGCAGTTCCTCACGGCATATTGAAATAAAACCTTCTTATAGAACAGACTGAATGGCTTTCTTAGTAAAAGTTTGTGACATATTTTTGAGGAAGAACAAGAAAAAGCTTTCAATTTATATTTTATAATCAATAAACATCTTGTAATGACATTTGTCTAGAAAGATATGTTGGCAAGTAAGTCACTGAATATGGTGTCAAGTTATTTGACTCAAGACTGGAAAACTTTGATTCCAGGAACTTTTGAACTCAATATTGTTTTTTTGTATAAGAATTTCACATATAATTATAAAAGTTTGAGTCACTCTGGCATCATGTTCAAGTTTTGCGAAACACGGATGTTTTTACTAGTTTTCGCGATTCACGCGCTGATTTATGGCTGAATAACGATCACGCAAAAAGCCTTACTTCTCACTAGCTGAAAAACTAACTTTAAATTGTTGGTATTATGTTATTTCGTACATTACTTCTTCAAGCTTAGATTGTTTTAGGCATACTATTTAAGGAAAAGTCATCGCATCGATATAAAATTAATCGAAAACGTTGTTTTTTTAATTTTTGTCGAAACCTAAAACAATCTCTGGACGTACTGATCAAAGTTAGGGCACAGCTATCTCATAGAACGAAGTACAATTTAGTGTTTTAAGTTTTGCGGACGAAGGAAAACTGGAGAATCTAAAGAAAAACTCTTGAATCAAGGAAGATACTTGATCTTTGACTTTGTTTTAAAATTTTCATTTATCTCATGATCAGTTCACTTCGCGCTCAAATCCGCAACTCGCCTAGACCTACATGTTCGTATAAAAAAACACGCAGAGAACGTGTTCATTACGATTTTGCACAGAGATGAAATAATTCTATAAAAAAAGAAAACAAAAAATTTGCCATACATACCAGCATGCAGAGAATTAATTTGCCGTGGGACTTACGGATCTAGCCTCACCGTACGAGAAATTCCTAGATAAACTTTGACATGTTTAAGATTGGACGTCATATGACGTCGATCTGTCTGTCAAAACCAACAGGTTGGTTGGTTTTCGTAAAGCTGCAGTGAGTGTTGTTAACAGAAAATTAGACTTTTATTGGTAATTATAAAACTTGGTTAAAAGTTTGGTAAACACGGGGTGGTGTGAGCGACGAATGCGTCGCCTCTCTACGCAGTAGTGTAGTAGCTTCGATACCTGAGTGGACCTTGCTTGTTGGTTCGCTAATGTGCTTTGAAGGTTTTTCTTCCGGGTTTTCCGGTTTTCTTTCCTCCGAAAAAAAGATCAACTTCTAAATTCAAGTCGGATTGGGCGTCGAAAACTTAAACTCGATTCCCTGGCTCGAGACATCAATTAGTCACTCCTTTCTTAAATTCGAAGAGAGTTAAAATGTTAAATGTATTTTAGGTTAGAGATGTTTCAAGATGTTCTTAATCGAGAGTTTGTACGGAAAACTAAAAATCTTAAAAGTGAAGTATTTTCTCGGTATTAATCGAACTTCCACCAACGAACGACGCTATGACAGAAAACTTAGCACTTTGTGCCAAACCCACGTACACAGCAAATATATTTATGAATCAATTTTTCAGAGAAAATAAGAAGAATATGTCTGGCACGGACGCCTTATCCATAAACTCTCCATATATCGGTTCACTGGTCAAAAACATTGCATCTAACTTAGGCTGCAGGGTTCACATTTGAATAATCCTTTGAAACTACCTTGCAGCCTCAATATTGAATACTTTGTATTTGACCAGTAAACCAATGTATGGAAAGTGGTGAATGAATGTGTGTCTTTACCAAATCCTACTCAGCCAGTCAATTAGTGTGCATGCGCCCTGCAAAACTTCTTTTGTGTGCCTTCGCCGTACCCTGACCGTGACGTCATCGTATTTTCATTGGCCAAGCAGTACAGTGTGCTCGTTCGCTGTGATATGTTTTTTAGATGCCTACAAATGCTTAACCATTTATTTTTTATCGTTATTCCAAATTTACTCAATCTGTCTCCATGCAATTGCTAAGATGATTGAAAAAATTAAGTAGAGGTTGATGATGTCCAGATTGTGATTTCAAAGGTAACCACGGATTTGCACTTTTAAAATGTTTACTTCCTGGAAAATCTTTCAAGAATTTCAGTGGTGTTATGACGTACGAATATTTTTTTGTCTTCTCTGTATTTAACTACCATATTTTCCAGACACCTTTCTACCCTACATAGTATTGATTTCCAGAAATTTCTGAAAACCTCAACCTGGGACGGGACACTCCGCAAAAATGAAAAGCAAATAAAGGTGCAAATGCCTTTGATCCAAGCTGTGCTATATCTGTCATATCTTGCTGGCTATCGATACTGCATCTTATCGCGTCTTCAGTCCTCAGTAAAGTTGGTCCCAATAACGTTAGAATGACCCCAGCAAATCCGTGAAACACTAATTACTAAATAGTACAAAATAGTGCTAGTTAAACAATAGAAAACAATGGAATTTGCATGAAATTGTGCTATTTAGTATTACTAAAGTTTCACGGATTTACTGTGGTCATTCTAACCCTACCCCTATAAGATTCCCGTCTCAATATGTAAGCTTTTCAAAAAACATAATCAGTGTTATGTCCACCAAAATTCTCTAATTTGTCGTTTCTAAAGGTCTTCTTAAAGATTTTTAGCTGAGACTGTTTTCTAAGTTCTTTTTTACGGAGAAAGATGCACATTCCTATATATGCTGTTGTGTTAGGGCCTTGCCTTGCCGTGGCTCCAGGGAATATAAAGGGAAGTAGGAAAAGAGGGCTGGAATAATAATATGAGAACCATGAGAACCTAATTATGAAGTAATGCAGTTAATTGGTAGCACTAGAAGGTGTCTACTTCTTCCAACTTAGGAATCTATATGAAATTTCCTCGCAATATGTATAAAACTTATAATTCCAAGTAAACGAATAGCGTTTTATGTAGTTCTGTCTCAATGAAATGGGCCTAGTTTAAAATTTTTTCATTCAGTCAGAGTTTGAACCCGGTTTGAGAGTATAAGTAAATTTTCATTCAGTCAGAGTTCGAGAGTAAAACAAAAATATCTTACCTGTATATTTATGGCCGCGATGGTTCAGAATCGTACATTCCCGGCAGATCAAGCAATCACATTGGGTGCAGTAAAACATATAGAACTCATCCCCATGTTGCGTACAAAAGGACGGGCGATGCAGCGTCTTTCTGTCGGCCTGAAGAGTGTCCATGGACAATATTCTGTGGTCTTTGGTAACACGAATTCTTCTGTGAGCATGAACGCAAGTAACACACAAAAACTCGGCGCAATCCAGACATCTTGAAGTTGCTTCGGAATTGTCTTCACAGTTGGTACAATGAAGGACGTATTCTTTACTCGATTTGACGGAAAGTTGGTCCAAAGCGTTGGTGAGAAGAAAATTATCTGGTAACATTTTGGGGCCATCGTCGGGAATCGCCGTCAGTTTACGACAAAGAGGACAAACGAGAGATTTAGTCCCTGCGCCAATTAGATCGTAACTCTCAAGACACTTGAGACAGAATGAATGTAGACAGGAAAGAATTTTTGGCTCTTTGAAGACTTCCTGGCAAGCGCGGCATTCAAGACTTTGAGGGGAATATCCCTCGTCTTTAACCGTCGCCATTGTCAATCAGATAGATTTTAAGTTCTTTGGCTGTGATCTAAAGAAAATCATGTTTTATTCATGACAAACTTGCTGGTTTTCTTTTGAAATATCCTGTTGCTCATTCAGGTGGACTTTGAAGTGTTGATGTAATTGTCAAATGAATTATTTATAAGGTTTGTTTTCGTTTTTTCACCTAAGACTTGAAAAAATAAACTGACTACGGAGCCAAGATACTAGACACAAACACCAGTAAAAAAGACTCCAAAAGAGACCAATAGAATAACTTTTCTTGGGTAATTTTTGGAGTTTCTAACTGTTAAGAAACTTAGTGTAATAAATGGTTGTTTCATTTGCCACGCTTGGTTAAGTGATGGTTTTACTTATTCTTTGTTTCCAACATCCATTTGACTTCGGTGATTTTGTTTCCAAAAGCAACCTGCAAAGGTCGGACTTCCTAGTCCTAAACACTACACCTGTTTTCGCTTCGCTAAACCTATCTTTCCTTTCTAGTTTTCGGACTATAATAAGTAAGCTAGTATTCAAAGATCGAGTTACAATAGTTCACTTGAAGAAACTAGGCATTTTTTAGCTTCGTTCACCTCAAACACACATAATATAAAGCGAATTGTAGTCAATCAAAGATTGAATATATTTTGATAAATATGTTATTTATTACTATTTACTGTCGTTTTATTGACAAACAAATTATCCTGCATGGACAAAGCGACATTGAAATTTTGAGGGTTTATTTTCAAGGACTTGTATTATTTTGGCCAGGATTGCTCGAAATTGTCTACTATCGGAAAAGAGAATAAAGAATGGATATCAATTTAAATAAAAACAAAACTGATGATGTAATTCCGAAAGAAAAGGTTTGTTAAACTAGCTCAATACGTCCACCAGTATTTTCGCGCCAAAAATCAAAACCACTCGTCTTGATCCACCAATAAGGAGTCAAATCTTTAGGACGCGTGATGTTTTCGCGGGAAAACTAAGCCATGGCAATAAAAAAATACTAACGCTAGATCAAGCAGAACTAGCACCGAAATGTTGTTCAACACTGCGATAAATAGTTTTTGCCACGTCAGATGAACCTCATATTGTATTTTTTTCAACGTGTATTTTGAAGCGGAGAACATAATTTTTTAAATTTTCGTATCTCTTGACTTTTCTCAATATGAATATTCAGAACAAGCTGCATATTGAGTGAAAGAAATCTTTGTTTATTTTAACAAGTTTCCGTTGAAAGACGTTTTTGGTGTTTCATTAATTTCTACAAAAAACCCAAGTTTTGTTTCTCTCGTTTCTCTGTCTATTTGCTAATTTTTTTCCAGCTTTTTATGATGTTTATTGAAACCAATAAAAAACAGTGCGAACTCGAGCGAGAAGTCCAAATTAAAATTTTTCCTGCGCGATGGCAATTAATTCCCATGGTAATAATGAAGAAAGAATAAGATTTAAGTCGTGTTCTTCAAATGGCATAAAAATAGGGTTTTAAATTCAGTGCATTTGAATGGCTTTTTTGATTGACAAAAGTCACAATCAGTCACAGATGAGTCAACTCACCCGTCCAGGAGTCATAGACCGATCAAAATACCTGCTGTTCAAACTTATCCTCCTTTCAGTCATGATCAACTCTACCGTGAACCAGATCTTATTGTATCAAGTCTTTCAAATATGAATCCTTCTTAGATTTCTCAGCTTCGAAAATAATCGACCAAAACGATGAGTTCCGTGGTGGTTAACAAGATAACAGATCATTACCGTCTGGCCTGTGGGATTTGCCAGAACACGTACAACAACCCAAGAGTTCTGCCCTGTTTGCATTCATTTTGTCTCGGGTGCTTGGACAAAAGTATAAGGTATATATTGTAATCATAAATTCAACACTCCCTTAAACTTTCCCAGGTCTTTCAAACACAAAAGCTTGCCTATAAACCTACCCTTCGACTTCCTTAAAGTCAAATCTATTGATTTTTTAAAGTTTTGTGTCTTTATTTTCAAACCAACTTTGGTACTTTCTATGTATATAGTTCTATATAGCAGTCAGCATTAAAGAGCTTCCCAGGAACTGAGAATGTATTAAAAGTTCAATGACATATGATGATGGTAACATCATGTAGAAATTCAAAATTAATTGTGTGAAATAAAACGAATTTTGTGTAATAAAATATAGCTGTTCGTCAAAAACTTTCGAGCTGATTTTATAGATTGACACATTGAAAGCTCAAAACAGGCGAAAATTCTCTCCTTAAGACTGATATTGTTAAAATATTTTTTGAGGGCCAACAACATCAACATTGACAACATCAATCAGATAATTGGCTTTCGTTGCTGTCATGTTCCTTAAATAGCTCAAAATGATGCAAACGTTCACAGAAACGTGGCATTTTACGCATATTTTGAAGTTTGAAGTTCGCATCTTATTAACCAAACCAATCCCGAGTGTATTTTGATGTGTTACTATCCTTGAAACTTTAGTTATTTTGAAGATTTTTAGGGTTGAACACCTAAACAAAAAAAAGAAAAAAAAAAAAAAAAAAAAAAAAAAAAAAAAAAAGGAAAGAAAAAAGCCTCTCCCACAATAACTTCGAGCACTGAGACTCAAATGAAATTAGAATTTCTTATCCTAGAACTAGCTAATTTACTCAGTTTATCTGTTATCGCATGATATAAACTATTTTTGCTCAAGTGTGAATATATTTTTAACGCGAGAAAATCGTTCTTAAAATATATTTTCAACAACTGCAATTTCCTAACAGGATAAACCAGTCGGCTTAAAGTTTTACAAAATTTATATGTTTACACAAACATAGTAGCGCTCAAATAAGTTGTAAAAACAAAATTTTTGATAATTTTTTTCTGTCTTTGCCTTAAAAAATGTTTCTTGACTGAAACAAGAAATGATAAATAACTTCAAGGAAACAATTTTGTTCCCCAAAATTTAGCCAAATTCTTACGTTTCCGTTTCTTGAAATACTTTTATATTTAGTTGAATTCAATGTTATTGATCTTTTGATCTCTCGAGCGCAAATATTCCATGTGAGAGACAGGATTTTTAAAATGATGGTCACCAGCTAATTTGAAGTTTGATCCTTCCTGCAACCTGCTTAAAAAATATCAGCGAATACGTAATTATAGGCAGTTATGGTTTCTAATGAACACTTTGAACGGATAATATTGATCGCCGATTCGATCTGTGTGAAGGCATTATGGGTCTGGTTCTGGTAGAAAAGAAGCTGAGATTCATGTGCAAGACATTTTGCTATTCTCTCTTAAGCGGGATCCCCTTTTCGCCAAATACTTCATGTAAATTCAGCAAAAAGCAGCCATATTTTCTGTACGTCCTCTTAAATGGTTTTTCAAGAATGCATAGGAGGTAGATTCAGTGTATTAAGCTTTCCATTCATATAAAATCGGTTCTGTATCTAATAGGTCACAGGACAGGAAATTGCTTTGCCCAACATGCAACCAATCAGTGCCCGTTCCCGCAAAAGGAGTCGAGACGTTCCCCATCAATTTTTTCATTGACAACATGTTGACAGTCCTGGCCGTACAAAACCCAACAAAATGCACCAACTGTGAAGATAGTGCCCAGGCTACAGAGCGCTGCCTGGATTGCGTGGAAAACCTCTGTAACAACTGCGTGCATGCTCACAAGAGAATCCGCCAGACAAAAGACCACAGGATTCTTACTTTTGAGGAGATTTTGGCCAATGAAGTCAGAGAGACGATTAAATGTCCGTCGTTTTGTGGAATGCACCCAAGAGAGGTGAGACAAGTTTCATAAAAAAAAAAAAAAAAAAAAAAACTGCAAAAGTAATCTTAATTAATTTAAAAATTCTAGGATGAAACGATTTTTTGAGCTTTAGGTATGACGGGGGGGATCCAGTCCTTTTTCCCGCCCAGCCCCTTTGCCTGGATCTACCACTCAGGAGATTTTGTTTTCACACATAACTACTGGGAAGAAATAGAATCCAATAGTGGTCAATATGACTTTTCTCTAGGAAAGTTAAAATGACCCATTGGGGACAAGGTACTCCTTTATATTTATAGTTATGCAGCCGGTCGTATACAGTGTGTTCAAACATGTGATTCAAAATCCCTTGAGATATAAATAACATTGAAATTTGATCAATGAGAAGTAAGGTAATGAGGAATGCTTTGTTATCGTCAACCAAGATGATGGTTATAACGTAACATACACATACTCTATACCTAACTCCGACGTATTACCTATAATATATATTCTATATATAATAATAATTCAAGGTACTGAAGTACTTCTGTGAGACATGTGACGAGGCAATCTGTCGTGACTGCGCGATCTACGAACACAGAGATCACATCTATGTTGACTTGAAAGAAGCTGTCAAACGCTACAGATCCACTATCACCAACATGTTGGACAACAGCAAGAGGAAAATACCCGTTGTTAGGTAAAAATATTATTTGTGATACCGAAAAGTATCTCGCAGGTGCGGGCTTCCTGTGGAATCCAGAAATTAACCGTGATGAATTTCGATAAAGCACAGTTCTCGAACAATCAGATCGCGCGTACTATCTAACGATGTTTTATTAAAAGTGAATACGAGGCGACGTGGCTGAGTGTTTCTTCTGCTTTTCGAGTGCTCTACAGCTTCCAAAGTGTTTATATCACAGTACAGAGGCATAAACAGTCGTTTTATAGTACTTTAATAAATATTTTTGAATGTTTTTGCGCGAGTGTGTCTTTGTCTTCTGACTATATAAATGGTAGCCAGCCAATTAGTACGCGCGTTATATTTGATCATAAAAAATGAAAAATGCGCGCGTGATGCGTTGTAAAAATGTACGCGAAAATTGCCAGAACACCAAAGAAGTGTCGGTTCTTTAGTGTAAAAGCAATCCCCAAGTGCTGTTGTAATTGTACACAGCTATTCTTTTACAAGATACATGCCAATGACGAAAAAAACTGAAACGTGATCGTGCTATGTGCATGCATAAAGCATTTGCCTCCAGCAAATCCGAAAGCGACGTTTATAACATTTGTTTTATGATGTATTATAGGATTGCAGTTGATGAGGTGAAGGAGGTGCGACAGAATCTAAACGAGCGGGTGGAAACAGTCAAGAGAAGCATCCATGAAACAATACAAGGACATATCAAAGCACTGGAAGAACAAGAAGCGGATTTGATTAACACGCTGGAGAAGATCTACCAAAGAAAGGAAAAGGTATTCGTCCATTTATTCATCCATCCATCCATCCATCCATCCA